TCGGGGGGGTGTTCTTTGCACGAAAAGCCCCCGACAGCCATAATGTGGGGTGTTAGGTGCTGCTGAAATGGACCGTACATCTGTTATCCAAAGGAGACGTAAGGGGGGTGCAGAGCCGGTTGGAGGTGCTGTTGTAGGGGCGTTCTGAGCGCAAGCTGTACTCAGGCTGCATGTACGGGGCAGAGAGAGGGGGAACTCGTCTTTATGCAGACACTTTGGTGATTGCTCATCAGCAGTGATGGGGGGAGGGGAAGTGAGAGTCACATGACATTTTAGGGCACTATATTAGATCTGGCCTGAGGCTGGAGACACTTTAACCCTTTTCAGCATGGAGGACGGTGCACAGGCAGGGACTGGCGCGTGTGAGGCAGGGATCCGGGGGGGGAGGTCCCTGGAAATCAATGTGTATACTGTGGAAGCGCTTCACTGCGCACAGTTCCGCCAGGTGTCTTAACTCCGGCTCCTGTTCTCCCTGCCCCCTCCCTGTTTACTTTTGTTTTAAAGGAACCAGAGGCGCCTCCAAAAATCAAGTCAAGTAGCTCCTCCTCCTCCAGCTCCTCTTCCTCCTCCTCCTCTGATGAAGAGGATGAGAGCGACCTGGAGGCAAAGCGAGGTCCCCGGAGTCGAGAGACCCACCCTGTGCCACAGAAGAAAGCTCAGATTCTGGTGGCGAAGCCGGACCTGAAAGACCCTGTCAGGAAGAAGCGGGGGCGGAAACCGCTGCCTCCGGAGCAGAAGGCCGCCCGCAGGACTGTGAACCTGGCAAAGGTGCTGAAGTCGACCCGAAAGGAGCCGGGTGGAGGTTCTAAGCTGATGGGGAAGCTGCAGCCGCCGCACACTGGGCAGGGCTCCGGGATTGCTCTGCTCAAATCTAATGGGAAAGAGCCCCAAAGCTCACTGGGCGGGCTTGGTTCGGGGGGCTTATCTGCTGAGAACCTGCCCAATATACTGAAGGGCGCCTCCGGGAGCCCGAACCACGGGATCAGCTGGCAGAGTTCCATTGTGCATTACATGAACCGGATGTCCCACAACCAGGCCTCCGCAGAGGCCCCCGCCCCGGGGAGGCTGGCACTCAAGTCGCAGGCGTCCGCCAAGACCAGCCTAGGGCTGGACTTAAAAATGAGAAGCCAGAAGGGAGCTGGGGAGCCGGGTTTGAATGTTCAAGGATCCAAAGCGGCCAAGGCACCCGGCAGTGGGGCGGGGGAGGAGCAGAAGCCAGCCTTCCCTGCTGGAGCACAGGCCCTGCACAACGGCAGCAAGGCACCTGTAAATCCACCTGCCCCAGGAAGCCAGGGCACTTCCAATCAGGAGCTGAACCTTCAAGCTTTAAACCTGCAGAGTGTCAAAAATGGGCCAACGGCAGCCGGCGGCGGCAGCCTCCCCCGTCATGTCTGTGGGGCGCCAGCCAAAAGCACTAGCGCCGCAGCCGCGAATGTGGGTGCAGCTGCCACCAAGGGCAGTGGGGCGGGCACGGTGCCGAATGCGCCAAGCACGGGGCTGCTGCCGGGTGTGGACACCTGCAAAACCGAGAAACCCGCACAGAGAGCCTCTGCTGGCGAAAGGGACGTGACAAAAAGTGGGGGCCCCGAGGGGCAAGCCAGCGGCCCTGTCTGAAATGAGCACGGGCGAGGAGGAGACCAGCTCCGATTCGGATCGGGATTCTGCCTCCTTTCCTGGGGTGGGCCAGAACATGTCCGTCTCCATCCAGACCAGCCAGGACTGGAAACCCACCCGCAGCCTGATCGAACACGTCTTTGTCACCGACGTGACCGCCAACCTGATTACAGTGACCGTCAAGGAGTCTCCCACCAGCGTTGGGTTTTTCAACCTTAGACATTACTGAACCAGGAAGGGTGTTGGGGGGAGGGGCTCCCACAGCCCCCTCAGCCGCCTCTTTCCCATTGACGTCACCTGATCGTTTCATTGAGTTTTTCTGTCAGGGAATGCCAGCTGGCGACGGGATTTGGGAATGCAGAAATCCGGTGTCCCTGCCCCTATAAGCCAATGGCTACTGAACAGCACCCACCCCGCTTCCCCTAATGAAGCGTTCTGCTGTTGCTGGTCTCCCCTGGATCCGTGGAGGCTTCCTGGAGCCAAAAGAGATTTTCACTGAGGGCTGGGAGGAGCAGGATACGGTGAGGGCCGTTCTGGTTTTCCGACCCTCTGGCAGGTAGCACCAGCGTCAAGCTAATGCCGTGCTTCTCTGGTGGGGATTGAGGCTGGCTGGAGGCTAAAACGTGGCTGATTAACGAGGCTTCTCTGTAGTTAGATTTCTTTGATGGGCTTCCTGGAGCCAAAAGAGATTTTCACTGAGGGCTGGGAGGAGCAGGATACGGTGAGGGCCGTTCTGGTTTTCCGACCCTCTGGCAGGTAGCACCAGCGTCAAGCTAATGCCGTGCTTCTCTGGTGGGGATTGAGGCTGGCTGGAGGCTAAAACGTGGCTGATTAACGAGGCTTCTCTGTAGTTAGATTTCTTTGATG